GGTTCAAGCCGAATTCGGAAGAGGCCATGGAATGAGGGATATCATTGCTGATGTCCGATGAATCTTGAATGAAAGAAAATACCTGAAAGCTATTTACCTGTGTTTTCTTGATTACACAAAGGCTTTTGATTGTATGGTTCATGACAAGCTATGGACAACATTGCAAAGTATGAGTATTCCTGAACACTTAATTGTGTTCACGAGGAATCTGTACATGGACCAAGAAGCAATTGTTTGATCAGAACTGGGAACACTGAATGATTTAAAATTAAGAAAGGTGTGCAACAGGGTTGTATTATTTCACCATGCTTATTCAACCTGTATGCTGAGCAAATAATCTAAAGAAGCTGAGTTATATGAAGAAAAATGTGGTATCAGGATTGGAGGAAGACTCATTAACAACCTGCGATCTGCAGATGATACGACCTTGCTTGCTGAAGGTGAAGAGGACTTAAAATATTTACTGATGAAGGTCAAAGAGCACAGCCTTCGGTATGGACTGCATCTCAATGTAAAGAAAACAAAAATCCTCACCACTGGACCAATAAACAACATTCTTATCAGTGGAGAAAAGACTGAAGTTGCCAAGGACTTCATTCTTCTTGGATCAACTATCAACACTCATGGAAGCAGCAGTAAAGAAACCAAACAACGCATCGTATTAGGCAAATCTGTTGCACAAGACCTTTTAAAGTGTTGAAGAGCAAAAATGTCAGCTTGAGGACTACGGTGCGCCTGACCCAAGCCATGGTGTTTTCAATAACCTCATATGCATGTGAAAGCTGGACAGTGAATAAGGAAGACCATAGAAGAACTGATGCTTTTGAGTTATGGTGTTGTAGAAAAATATATATATAAAGTGCCATGGTTGCCAAAAGAACCAAAAGATCTGTGTTGGAAGAAATGCAGCCAGAATGCTCCTTGGAGGCCAGGATGGACAAACGTCATCTCTCATACTTCGGTCATATTGTCAGGAGGGGCCAGTTGTGTTTCGTTCTGTTGTGCATAGGGTTACTATGAGTTGGTACTGACACTGACTCGATGGCACATAAAAGCAACAACAACAAAAGTGCATGGAGGGGTTTATAATCATTACAATGACTTGCTGAATGTCAATCTGGTGATCTGCTCTGTAAATCTTCACCCACTCAAAACATAATGTTGTTGTTAAGTGCCATCGAGTTGCTTCCGACCCATAGCAATCCTGTACAGGGTTTCCAAGGCTTTACGGGAGCAGAAAGCCTCATCTTTCTTCCGCAGAGTGGCTGGTAGTTTTGAACTGCTGATCTTAATGTTTGCAGCCTGATTTGTAACCACTACACTACTAGAGCTTTAAAATAAAATAATAAATATATAAAAGAAAGAATAGTGATGAATTTGCCAAACACCTCATAACATGGATGAACCTGGAGGACATTATACTGAGTAAAAGAAGATAATCAGAAATGAACAACCTGATCAACTGGACCTCATACAAATACTATATGAGACTACTATTATAAAATGTCAAGGAAAGGCTTCACACAAAAAGAAACGTGTTTTGATGGTTGCCAGAGTTGGGAGAAAAAGGATAACTCACTAACTAGAGGACAGACATAAAGTAACTGGGTAAAGAGGATGATAATATATAAAAGGGAGATCAGCAAAAAATGGTAAAGGCAAAGGAAGACACTGAGAGAAAAGGGTACAAGAATTAAAGGCAACAGAAATAAATACTATTATATACATAATCCTTCAATAGCAATAATCTATGAAAGGATAAATAGATAGACATGGAAGCTGAACAGGTGTGGAAGGGAGAAAGGGACTATTTAGGTTTGAAAGAAGATATTTTCACATATGTATTTATCTATGCTACAATATACTCATGAATATAATAGAGCATATAGGGTACAAACTTATGAAAACTTCTTAGCCATAACCAAACACCATGAGGGAATGAGTCACTAGGCCTAGCAACAGGGGACACCAATGTCAACTGGCATAACATAATCCACAAAGACAATGTTCTACATTCTACTTCAGTAACTGGAATCTTTAAAGTTCATGAGCGGCAATCTAAGGTGCAATTATCGATAGCTCCCTCCCTGGAGCACAGAAGAGGGAACAAAACCAAGGACACATGAAAACAATGAGTCCAATGGACTAATGGACCACACGAACTTTAGCTTTCACGACCTATGGCCAGAAGAACGAGAAGGTGCCTGGCCACCAACATCAGTTGCTTTGACAAGGATTACATTACAAAGACTTGGGTAGAATGGGGAAAATGTACAAAATTTTTAAAAAGCATAAAAAAGACAGCTTACTGATCAGACAGACTGGTGGAATCCCTGAGACTATGGCTCTTCGTCACCCTTCAGGCCTGGAACTAAACTCACCTCCATGGTTTACTTTTCAACCAAACAATATACAGGTCTATAAGGTGAACAATAACACTAGGGAGGTACGAATTCCTTAGACAAATCAACCCTTCAAGATAAAAGGATAGCATTTTGCTCAAGTTGAGAAGGCAGAAAGGGTTAGAAAAGAAGCAGGAATCGAAACCAAAACCACAGGGTAAGTTATGCTACACTGTGGGGATTGCAAGTAATGACACAGAGTTGTTCAATGGAAAACTAATTTTTTCTGTATACCTTCATCCAATTCACAGTTAAAAGTTTAAAAAAAAAAAAAAATCTTTTTCAGCAATAAATAAATAAACCCAAACAAATTAATAAAAGAGAAGGAAGGTAGTGGGGATGATTGTTGCCTGTAGTTCCTAGTGGTTGAAGGATGCTTTCAGGCCAAGACTACATCACCTCAGCTTATCTATCAGTGTCTCATATGATTCTTTTATCAGTATAAACTTAAAACAAAACAAAACAAACAAGGATAGACCCTATAATAAACATGACCATCTAAAAGATGCCTTTCTTGGGTCCTGATTTTTCATCCTGTAATCTGCAAAATTATACTTTATGCATTCAAAATGCATTCACTCACCCACTCAGTCATTCATTCTTTTTGTTTCTCTTTTTTCTTTCCTCTTATATAAGCCAGGGCCTATCTGAGAGTTCAGGATATAGAGAGGAATAAGAAAATCCTTGGCTTTGAGGGTCTCAGTATAGTAGGGAAACAGACCTATAAATAATAATTTGCTATAATTTGCTCATAATGATCTTTTCCCCAACATCCTGACTTCAGTTGTTTAGGGACCCCAGACCTAACCCCACAACCAAACCCACTGGTATTATGTATTCCAAACCACAGTGATTCTGTAAGATAGTAGAACTACTTTCATAGGGTTGCCAAGCCTGTAAATCTTTACGGAAGCTGATGACCTCATCTTTCTTCCATGGAGTAGCTGGTAGATTTGAACCAGTGATCTTTGGATAAATAGCCAAAAGTTGGGTGCAGAGAAGCAAGAAATGCTCAGTTCTGATATGGGGAGTCATGGAAAGGGATAAGGAGTGTTTTTGCAGAGGATAAAACATATGGGCAGAATTTAAATACAGGCATTCCAGACAGAGAAAGAAAGAAAAGAGAGACACACATAGACATCCGCAAAGGCATGGAGAAGTACAGTAGCAGAGTGTATGAAGACATGCTGTAAGAGCTGACTGCATTTAATTCTTACAACAATCCTCCCAGGTAGGTATTTGTTAGAAAGTTAACCTGGTACACATCCAGTGAATTACACAGTTGAAATGTGAACACAGGTCTGTTTGATTCTAAAGCCAAGATGGTTAGTTAAGTTAGAGTAAAGTGCCGTTGAGTCGGTTCTGACTCATAGCAACCCAGGATAGGGTTTCTGAGGAGCAGCTGGTGGGTTTGAATGGCCAACCTTGTGGTTCACAGTCCAGTGCTGATCCACAGTGCCACACCAGAAGTCCAAGAAGAAGGTATGCAACTTAAAAAAAAAAAGGGAAGGCAGGAAAAAATAAACAAAGTCTTTGTTTAGTGGGGAGAAGGAAAATACTATAGTGTACAATCTTGTAGCATATATACACATGCTACATTAACAAGTGATAAAAAAAAAAATCTCAGTAACAAAAGGAATTTATGATATGACCATATAAATGTCTGAGAGAGACAAACTCTGTCATGCATTACATACAGGGTTCTCATTCATTCAGGGTGTAAAGTACTTAAATCAGAGTATTTTTTGCTGAACATCTTAAAACATTGATAAAGACACTGTATTACATAGACTAAGACTAATTTCACTTCTACAATTTACTTTCCCAGCCATTAGCACTCTTGTTAATAATAATTTTTAAAAAGCTATTAAATGAAGTGTGGTTTAGCCACGTAAAGCTGCCCCTTTTTTTTCTATTAATACCGGTTTACTATTATGTAGGTAAATTAATTAACTTCTCTGTGCCTCAGTATTCTCATTTACAAATAGGGACAATATTAATACTAAAAAAGGTCTATGGGAGGAAAAACAAATATTAATAAGTGTCATTCAGTTTCTTATTTTTTTCTGCAAATTGAAAATTTACTATAATTACTCATGTGGATTGCAGAGTAAGAACTGAAAACTATTGAAAAATATTCCTAGCCAGTCTCTTGGCACTGTGATATCTTACCCACTGATAAAAACAACTAAGTGGATTCCACCAATTCTAAATTGGTACTAGTAATTCCTTTAGCAACCCCCTATCCTACCCTGTTTTGGAAACTAGACATTTCTTTCATACCCAATGACTATAATAAAATATTGGTACCAATGTAGGACACTAGATATTTTTGTGTACTTTTAATTTTTAATAGGAAAACTGTACATATGTATGAGATTATCTTTAACATAAATTCCTAGAGATGGAACTGTTAAAAGTTAAAAAAACTGACAATGGTGTCAATCACTAGCCAAAGAAAGCTGTATCAATTTATGTTCTTACCTGTAGTATATGCAGAGTACCACATTCCACACATTCTCACCAGAATAGTATTTTCTGTGCTAGTATGATAGGTAAAAAATGGCAAATTTGGTTATAATGTGAGCTTTGGTTTACCTTTGGCTTCAATCCTTTGACCACTTCCAATTAGGCAGTCCCTGATGTCTGCTCCCTTCTCGATCACAGCATTGTTGCAGATGACACTGCCCTGGATGCTGCTTCTGTAATAAAGTAACCAAGTTAGGAAGTACCTAGGGGTCTCATCACCTCCCTCAATAGGGGTTTTGGATGACTCCTAGGCCAGGAAGAAGTGGTCAGTACAATTAAAAGCCTATATGCCTCAAGTTATCATTGAAAGACAACATGGTTCAGCTAGGCTAAGAAGGACTCAAATGGTTTTAGAGAAGCTCACAGTTTGGATATGCTCATAATGACCATTTCTCTAAGGTCTGAAATGAGCGGATATCCTGACTTCAGTTGTTTAGGGACCCCTGACCTAACGACAAAACCAAACCCACTGCTATTATGTATTCCAAATCATAGTGATCCTGAAAGATACTAGAACTGCTTCAGAGGGTTGTCAAGACTGTAAATATTTACAGAATCAGATGACATCATCTTTCTCCCAGAGATTGGTTGGTGGATTTGAACCACTGATTTTTGGATAAGCAAATGTACTACTGTACTACCAGGGTTCCTTGTTGTTAAGTGCCATCGAGTCAGTTCAAACTCATAGCAACCCTGCATAGAGTTTCTGAGGAGGAGCCGGTGGGTTTGAACTGTTGACTTTGTGGTTCGCAGTCTAGTGCTGATATTACAGCACCACACCAGGGTTCCTTACTCCAGACCAAATTATAACCAATATCTCCTCCTCCTTTGGTCTGGGCAAGCTGATGCCTCCCTCTGGCTTCTCATCTGAAAATAACAAATTTCATTTCAGCCTAAGATCCTATGAATCTTTCTAGAAGTGAAATTATGGAAACAATAGGTGCTTCACTGATCTTACAACAGCTCTGGTTAATCTAAACCACACACACACACGTATATATATATATACGTGTGTGTGTGTGTGTGTACGTGTATGTATGTATGTATGTATACCACCACTTGTCTGTCAGTTTGTCATACTGTGGTGGCTTGTGAGTTGCTGTGATTCTGAAAGCTATACATGGTGGACAGGTTTCAGATAAGCTTCTGGACGAAGACAGATTAGGAAGAAAGAGTGACGAATTTACTTCCGAATATTTAGTCACTGAAAACCAGCAGAGAAACACTGTCAGATATACTGCTGGAAAATGAACCCCTCAGGTTGGAAGGCACTCAAAATGTGACTGGGGAAGTGCTGCCTCCTCAAAGTAGAATTGACCATTATGACCTGAATGGAGTAAAACCCGTGGGAGAAAAGCCCACGGGACCTTCATGATATCCTATGTGAGTTTTGCAGAAATGACTACTATCAGACATTGACTTCCAAAGGTTCAAGCCGGATTCAGAAGAGGCCGTGGAACGAGGGATATCATTGCTGATGTCTGATGGATCTTGGATGAAAGCAGAGATATCAGAAAGATGTTTACCTGTGCTTTATTGACTACGCAAACACTTTTGATCGTGTGGATCATGACATGCTATGGGCAACATTGTGAAGTATGAGTATACTTACATGTGCTCATGAGGAATGTGTACCTGGACCAAGAAGCAGTTGTTCAAACAGAACATGGGAACACTGAATGGTTTAAAATTAAAAAAGTTGTGCGACAAGGTTGTATTCTTTCACCAT